ACATTAAATCAGAGAGAAACCACAAGAATAAAGTATATAAAGGTTGGGGAACTCATTTTTTTTATTTAAGAAGATTAAAGGTTTATAGTGACTGTATGCAATCTGAAATCCATACTGTAAATACTGGTTCTGACCTGCAGAGGGTGCTGTTGCCTTTATCTTCTGGTGCTTTATACATGAATTTTAAAAGATGAAGTTGGACTTGGATTTGACTGTTAGGCTGTTTGAACAAATTATGTGTTTTTTTTCAGAATTTACCAAATTAAACACTTAGTCACACAATAACACAAACAAATGACCTGACTTTGGCAGTAGTAGATCAGGAACTCTCATGCTCTGCGAGGTAACAGTATAGTTTTTTCGAAGGTGCCTTTATGGCTTTAATGGTTCATGGAGGTCACGGTTCAGTTTGTACTTCGGTTTTAGGGTCACAGTTCTGTACGGGGATTTCTCATTTGTAGTTTCCTCTGATTTATTTTGACGTGTCAGTAGTGCAAGTTACAGGTTGTTCCATCTTGTAATATAATGACTTCATGTGATAGTTGGCCTGTAGTGTCTAAAGTTCATATCTGATGTGTTTCCAGTGACATACAACACTGGAGACCAGAAGTTTCCCCACATAACTGGTTCTCTTCCAGCTCCGGTGAGTCATCTTGCTTTATTCATAGACTGTATATACATGGATGAAGCCTCAGTGACATCACACATTGGTCATAAAAGAAAAGGTCGCCATATTGAGATACTGTCTCAAACCGGCCAGCCTTAAAATCTTATCCTTCTTAAAATCAAAAACAAATGAGTGATAAACTAAATAACCTCCCGGACAGTGTGTGCCAATAAACACATGAGTCATTCAGACATTTCTTTTGTTTTCAGGCTGTGAACAATTTTGAATGGGTGTGTATGTGCCTCAGCAGTTTTTGGGCATCAATATTAACAATATACAGTAGAAGGTTCAATTTTGTCGCTGATGGTCTAGATTTGCATTTCTTCACAGGAGCTTTAAGGGAATCCTTTCTTTAATGTTTTCAGACACTCAGAATGACAGCAAAAAAACAAGCACTTAGTGGATGTGATAGGATTAAGCACTTTTGCACAACAGGTGAATGAACAAAATGCTCCTCCAGTGTATAGCTTACTTGGAAAAGGGGGTTTCCAAATTGTACTTACAGCCGTTTGAACGAATCAGTACATCACGTGCACATGACATAAAGAGACACATATGCAGCCTGTTTACACTTTTATACTTCATCCTCCTGGTTTCCTAGCAACTCTTTCCACGTTGTCCAGTAAGTGTTGTCACAGTGTCAGGATTAGTGTCACAGCTGTTGCACTTGATGAGATAAGCCCCACACATACACACAGATACATACACATTGTCATTATTGTCAACAAAGCAGCCACCAGCAGAGGGCACAGCAGGCTCGTTAGGCAGGTCAAACTGCTCCAGCCTTTTCCTGAGGTTTCTTATGCAATACTTTTCCTGACACTAAACCTCCTACTCCGTCCGTACTGCTTGACAGTCACGTCCACATGCAGCTGGTGTGAATATACTAATAAACATCACTTGTAAAGGAAGCGTTTGACACCAGTATGAAGTGAAATGATACGTCCATGGTTGGTGCAGCTGCTTCGCTCCACTTTTACCCACTTGTAGCAGCTGACCCGTGGGGAACATGCAGCTTGGAAAGTGGATGTGATTTAATCACATTACAGCCTGATCAGGTTGGTCTGAGTCATGGTCCTGCTCTCCTCTGGCCTCTAAATGAATCACACAAGTCAGGGACAATGTGTGTGTCAACGTGATCCAATCAGCTGCTTCAATGCAAGCTAGTCAAACAAAGGTTATGTAGAGTCCAGTTTGTTTATTTATTGAATTAGGACAGAGCACATTCATCATCATATCAGCAATACAGGGAAAGTACAAATGCTGGAATTAGCACAGTAGACAGACAGGTAGTTAAAAAAAAAAACATACGACAGATTTTACATCTGAAAGACTAAGTAAAGATTTTCAGGGAATTAAAGTGAATTGAAGAGATAAGAAAACTTTTTTCATGTCTGATACTATATGTTATATAATATAATTGACTGCTTTAAAGCTCCTGTGAGATGTTTTTAACAGGTTATAGAATAGACTGAAATGAATACTGATGCCTCTATATGACCTACAAAAGCAAACGAGACCATCAGCAACAAGAATTATTATTTGTAGATTTGTAGAATTCTTTATGCTGACACCTAGTCAGACAAGGTGAGTTACAGGATGCTGCAAAACCAGCCTTTGTTTACATTTTCCAAAGAAAAGATTCTTGATGAGTAATACAGTAGACCGTTAATTCGTCATCAGAAACTCTGGGATCGGCAAAGAAAGAATAGGTATTGCTTTGTCCACAGTGGCCGCCAAAACTGACAATAAAGGAAAGTTCCTCGCAGCAGAGTCAAAGAATATTTCTAGTATTGACAAACAAGATAAAAATTAAGATAATGCGATAATGGGTTTACTATGTTGTGATTGCTCCAGCTTTTTAAAACTCGCTCTCCCTGACCACTTCCAGCCATTCACGCTCTTCCTTTTGACGGAGGGAAGTTGTATTGTTGCAGCTAATAGAAGTCTCGTGGTTTCTACATTTCATTTCAGGTCTCATGATTCCATGGAACTGCATCCGACTCACTCAACCCATGACATGGCTGAGAGCTATCATCTCCAGTAACTCACTGAAACACTGCTGCTTGAGTTACGGGAGGTGTGTGTGTGTGTGTGTGTGTATATATAGTATATATGTGTGTGTGTGTGTGTGTGTGTGTGTGCTAAATTGCTAAAGGATTATCACCTGACTCATGGTTAAGATAAGCACAGGCTTAAGTCAAGTAGGTAAAGAAGACAGAGAATGTCTTATGTAACTAACTATAATAATGTTAAATATTTAAAGTGTTAAATTGTAAAGCCATCTGAGTTGTCTAAGCCGCCACTGCATTTATTTTATAATGCACGTCTCTTTATTTGGCTGTTAATTCCACTGAATCATGTAAACCTGAAACTAATAAAAACACTGGCTCATACTTGTTTAGGAATTAAAGTTAAGCAAAACTTATTCTTGTGATTGTAGCAGATAAAAGCTCAAATAGGAAGCCATCAATAAAAAAAAACATGTCTACATAAAATGCATTAAATCATTTTCTAAACATGACATGTCGGCTTGCCCTGCAAATGAAAGCTTTTAAGGATTTGACCACACACACACACACACACATCTCCTTATGTTTCTGTGAATGTAAACAGGCCTCACATACAGTAAATCTCTGGTCTCCAGTAAGTTCACGCCTGTTGTATGAGTGGCTCTGGAGACCACAATGGGTGTTGCTGCACGGGGTTTTAAAGGCCCCTCGTCCTTGAACATAATTTCAATTCAACAAATAAATACTTGTATAAGTGTACAGAGATAAATGATTATGTCTTAACCAGTAATAGTCTGGAATAGGCTGGTAACCTAGTCTAAAGGGCACTTTCTCCATGGGCAGATGCACTCTGGGCTGAGACAATTTAATCTTTAAATTGTTTTGGTATTGACTGCATCAGCTCGAATGACAGTCTGCCTGCCCAATCACATCTCCTAAGAGAACTACTCCAACTCTTTCCCCTGCTGTCCTCTTCAACTCATCAATTAAGAGTCTGTATGAAATAAAACATCAGCATAGAAATTATCAGTTTTATTTAAGTATGGGGGTTATGGAGAAGTTGTGCTCGTAAAGTGAAAAGACACAGAATTAAAGATGCTGCAAAATCTGCAAAGACACATCACAAAACTCTAAATTTATCTCAACAATAAATAAAAAAAATACTTAAGATGCAGTGGAGCAAGGCTTTCTCACTCAGCATGTTTACATCAGTTGTATAAGACTGAGTGTAATGGTTATAATTTCATACCATTTGGATGCAGTCAGATGGAGCTAATGCTGGCTATCAGCTTCTCTCGGATCAATTTAGTGGAGAATAACAAAGTTTTTATTCAATGATTTTGGATTTAGAAGGAACATGTTGCAAATGAGGGTGTACTGTTAAACAAAAAGAACGGCCGATAGACAGAAACTGTGAGTTATAGTGATTTTGCACCCTTTATTTTTGTTTATTTTTCGCAATTCATACCGTATCACAATATTCTACATATTTATTAAACATAGCATATTTTTAAAATAAAGTGCAGACCTAGTTTAAAGCTCATTAGCAACCCACATTGTATTCCTAAATTTGCAATGGAAGATCAGATAAGATAAGATAATCCTTTATGTATCCCACAATGGGGAAATTTACATTGTTACAGCAGCAAAGAGCAAAGATTGCAGACAAAAAGTGAACACAGTACAATTTAAAAAAATAAGAATGTACAAAAAATAGATACTAAAAAATAGATTTAAAAAATAAAATATAAAATAAATAAAATAAATAAAATAAATAAAATAAATAAAATAAATAAAATAAATAAAATAAATAAAAATAGATCAGCTATTTGACAAAAGTAAGTAAGACATAAGTATGCTTGGTTAGGTTTATATGCAGGTTTAAAAATAAACAGAAACTGCACTTATGCCAGAAAAAATATAATTTCTATTGACAATATAAGAGATGCATAAATGATAGATGGATGGGTGTGTATGCTATAATTGGTAAATTTCCCTCGGTATCAATAAAGTATCTATCTATCTATATTGGTTTTTGATTTCTTTAAACGAGATTCTTTATTATTGTTGGTAAACTATCTAAGTGAGAGACCTTATTCTGTTTCAGGGAATTCCCACCAGTGTGATCAAGCCAAAATGAGGCTAATAAGTTCACCTGCTGTGGCCAAAAACCTTGACATGGAGAGATGTACTACCTGGGTCTATTTTCAGAGAGCGCTATAAACACGAGGAGGAGGAGGAGCCTGGTTTTCCGTTTGGGAGGAGTAGATTTGTTGACGTCACGCCAGCCAGCGCCCCTGCGCACCCACAGTGCGCACCACACCGCGCAAGTTGGGGCACGGAGACGTCAGTTGAACATGGCGTTAAGCTGGAGAGCTGTCACCGGTCAACAGAGGAAAACAAGAACCGACACGACGACTGCGTTTATCTGAAGCCCGCTCACGGTTTTAACCCTGTGATATTGTGACGCTTTAAGCCGTTTTATTTTCATTTCATCCTTCTTTTTTTTTTTTTTTTGTTCCGCCACTTACGCCGCGTTACGAAAAAAAAATGTCAGACAACCAGAGCTGGAACTCGTCCGGTTCCGAGGAGGATTTAGAGCCCAGAGAGGAGCCTGGACCTCTGGTGGGGGTCGTCGACTTAAGCGGGGTCCTCAGTAAGGTAAAAAAAATGGAATTCACCTGTGTTTACTGACTGTGGTGCTCATGGCTTACCTGTCAGATATGCGTCTGTTTACATGTCAGAAATGATGTTTATATCATGTTTATAAGAGGGATGCTTCACCACGTTGCTGCTCATGATTATTATTCTAGATATCCCCACAGAAGCAGAATGAGTAGTTAGTAATGTTATACGAGGTGTTTTTTTATTTTTATTTTTAATACAGTTCATGGATCTCTCTTCAAAGGGTTGTGATGTTGATCACATCTCCTATAGGAACTACTCCAACTCTTCCCCCCTGCTGTCCTCTTCTGCTCATCAGTTCAGTCTCTGTATGAAATAAAACATCAGCATAGAAATGATCAGTTTTTATTTAAGCATGGGGGGTTATGGAGAAGTTGTGCTTGTAAAGTGAAAAGACACAGAATTAAAGATGCAGCAAAATGTGCAAAAAGACACATCACAAAACTCTAAATTTACCTCAACAATAAAAAAATAAAAAATAAAAATGGACCTCTGGTGGGTGTTGTCGACTTAAGCGGAGTCCTCAGTAAGGTAAGAAAAACGGTTTGGCTAAACTGGAATTCACCTGTGTTTACTGACTGTGGTTGGACAAAGTCACTGTGAGATATGCGTCTGTTTACATGTCAGAAATGAATCTATGTTCATATCATGTTTATAAGAGGGATGCTTCACCACGTTGCTGCTCATGAACATTATTGTAGATATCCCCACAGAAGAAGTTAGTAATGTTATACTTTCATACAGTTCATGGATCTCTCTTCAAAGGGTTGTGATGTTGGGGAATGGAAAAAGTATGTTCAGTATGATATCATATATTCAGTGTGACACCAGGTGATCTTAGTAAGCTATGCACAATAGTGTAACCACTATTAGGCAGGAAATGGGCACACAGGGGTTTAATGTTGACTGTTGCAGGTAAAAACTGCAGGTCCCCTGACAACATCTCTAAAGTGCATTAAACAAAAAGAAACGTCAAGGCAAGTTTAGTCATGTTACCTGTACAATATTCTACTATTAATGAATGACGACAGTTCTTAATCATTCTTCATAGTTTGTAGAAGTGCCAGACAAAATACTGAGTGGCTTTAACACATGTTCAGTGACGTGCTGTGTTTGCAGATGAAAAGGAGGGTTACCACCCAGTTCATGGATCTCTCTTCAAAGGGTTGTGATTATTTTATTGTGATGTTGGGGAAAGGAAAAAGCATGTTCAGCATCATGTATTCAGTATGACACCAGGTGATCTTAGTAATATGTCATTGGTTACTTTATTCCTGATGTTTCTTATCCATCATTGCACTACGGTCACTTTATTTATCTCTTTATTACCTTTACAGTTATATTGTTTATATTAGTTCTGTTGTTCCATTATTCACCATGCACCTTAATAACTTATAATTTAGTATTTAGCCTACTTGCACACAGCTCTGTATATATATATTTATTAATGCACATAGTTCTGTTTACATCTGGTCACTACTGCACATAGTTCTGGTTACATCTGGTCACTACTGCACATAGTTCTGGTTACTGGTCACTACTACATCTGGTACTACTGCACATAGTTCTGGTTACATCTGGTCACTACTGCACATAGTTCTGGTTACATCTGGTCACTACTGCACATAGTTCTGGTTACATCTGTTTTACATCTGTTAGTCCGATCACTGTCCACTTATATCTACTCTTTTTATATTTTGTATTTTAAGTTGTTTAAGGCAAGTTTAGTCATGTTACCTGTCCAATATCCTACTATAAATTAATGACAACAGTTCTTAATCATTCTTCATAGTTTGTAGAAGTGCCAGACAAAATACTGAGTGGCTTTAATACATGTTCAGTGACGAGCTGTATTTGCAGATGAACAGGAAATACAATTAAACCTGTTATTGTTTTGGGTAGCTACTATTAAATGTTTATGGCTGTCAAACAGGAGTCTAGGCATAGTGCTAATCCTGTTCTGAAGGGTTAATTCCAGTTGTTGCACATTGCTATCTTATTCTCTGATAACAATGTGAGTAAAGCAAATGGTGTTAGTGTTATGGGCAAATTTCCAGCGGTACTCTTCACATGGCTAAACAACAACAATAACAGTGTTTACAGGGACACTTGTACAAGTAAACTGAGTTCACAATATAAATAACACTGCAACTAGTCCATGCTCTATTTTCCCTTGGTAAACACTAACACACAGTTAAGCCTTACTGCTATACAAAGTCGTGGTAACCTATTTGGCCATATGCTTCTGTGCACTTGTGCAACACTTTGTTTTGGACAAAATACAGAGTTTTAATGAGTTAAGCTGCTGGCAAGCTAATGTGGTATTAATCTCACTGTACGCTGGCTTCCTGTAAACAGATTGCATGCTGACCTGCTAACCAAGCATATTGCAAGATTAAGCAGATCTGTTACCAGAAAAGCTCACCTGTTCAATCATACTAAACCCAATAAACGTCATAGGTCCTGTGAGGATTAATGAGTCTACACCTTATGTAAGGTGTCAGGTTTTTCTTTAAGTGCAGCGATCTCAGGTTTGGCAATATACCCAGTTAGTTTCACTACTAGTCGTCAGTGAAAGAAATGCAACACACCAGTCCTTTGATTAAAACTCTGCAGCATTTCTGATGTTCTTTGTAATTTTGTGGTGATTGTCGAGACAGTAGTTTGTCTTTTGTTGTGTAAGACGTTAATATATCGAGAGAGTGAGGTTAATGGAAAGACGTTATATTCCATTCCCATTGTTGACATGTCTCATTTTCTTGACCCTCAGCAATCAGCAGGATATTAATGAATGTGTTCTATTAATTTTTTCAGTGGACAAATTACATCCATGGATGGCAGGATCGTTGGGTGGTCTTGAAAAACAACACATTGAGCTACTACAAGTCCCAAGACGAGACCGAGTATGGCTGCCGGGGCTCCCTCTGCCTTAGCAAAGCTGTCATTACTGTGAGTACTATTACTCTTTACAACAAGGCAGGGTTCTTCCTTTCTGTTAGCTGTGCCGCAATCGTTTGACTGTAAACTTCAGAAGTCTTTTTTTTTTTTATGCACGTTCTTTGTTCTTGAATAGTAGATTTTTTTTGGCCACGGTGTCTTTCGAGAATAAACACCATTGTTTGTGCTTTCTTAAATAGAAGAACCTTCACTCACAAAACAGTAAATATACAAACTTCCTTCAGCACACACCCAACCACTATTCAGGACCTAGGTACCAGGATACTCTCATGTTTATTCTATTTAAATATTTATTTAAATAGCAAAATGGAGGTTACAAACCACCGCCGTGTTCCCATTTCACCTCCTGCTTAAGGTGGTTTTCTGTAAAAAAAAAAAAAAAGGACTGTATGTGTTACCTTTTCTCGATGTCTCATTCTGACAATACTCAACTGGTGGTGCTAAGACATTTTATTAGCATGACCGTGACTTCCACAGTGAGTACATTTCTACCACAAATAATGTGTGGCTTTGCTTATAAATGTAACGAATTAACTGACAAGTATTTAATTGTTCAATTTTAGTGGAGTCTTAACCTTCTCCTTAGGTCGGTTTACTAGCTGTTAAAAAAGGAACACATCAGTGTTGTTTTACCTTATTTTTTGCTTTGAGAGTTGTCAATACTTTGTAAACCTTCTAATCATCAAAGCAGAATTTTAGGGGATACAACAACTTAAAAGAATGATTTAGTTTATGTAGCTCTTTAAAAAAAGGTTAGGGAGATTTGACAGAACTGAGTTACAGTTAAGATAAAGTAAAAGACACTAACAACAACACACAATACAGTTCTTACAAATAGTAAGATCTAAAGCAATCCAAAAGACTGATTTGTTTTAAATGAAGTGCCCTCAGCTGATTAACTCACTGGAACAATGTCTTAATAGGCTGTAAAGCTCATGACGATGACGAAAGTTGTGCTAAGGTGTTGTTGTGTTTTTGTGTGGTAAAGTTTGGTCAAAGAATGATGCACCATTTAACTTGTTGTCTGATTTGGGGAGAAACTCATGCTTTTGCATTGCAAATTCACTGCAGTATGAAAATTAACTGCTTTTTGCCTTACTCTTTTTCCTCTTCTTCAAATCTCGTACAATCACACCACGAGCTAAAAATTCATCAGTAGCTTCTCATAATAAATTAAAAATAGAACTGCAATGCATATAAAATTGAGTTGGACTTGCTTAATGAAATTTAAGTTGTGTGTTGACATTTAATTTATTAAATATTTTTCATGACCAGACTTCTGTATTTTCTTAGCAGAAAATCACAGTTTTCTAGTAAATTACTGTTTCTATTACCATGGCAGCTTTACAACTTTCCTCTTTTTTTTGCTTGTAACCTTTCACACAGTTTTGCATAGTTTCACATGTGTTATATCTTATGTGATTCAGATGTCAGGCATCTATCCACCATATGTTTCTCTTAAATTCAAAAGGAAAGGCTCTGCTCCCTCCTGCATCCATATGTTGGCTTGAGGCTTGTTTACAATTATAATCAGAAGAGGAACTTCACCCTGGAGTTTCTCAAACTTGTTCTTCCACTTAAAGACACAACCTTAAAAAAATAAAAAAAACAAAGTTCTTTGATTTTTTCTTAAGTTACGCTTGAGGGTCTCTGGCCTGTCAGGTGACTGTTATGTTTCAACACAACATACTGTGTTGTAACACTTGTTGGGAACATCATCATGAGACTAGTAAGGCTGTGTCATTGTAAGAGCATGAAGGAAAAGACCAAGTCATGCATGATAGCATTGAACAAAGAGTCCCATTCCTATATAACTTTTACTAAAATCCTTTCTCAGAAACTCAAAGGAGCTGCAACAGTTGGCTAAGCACATAGGAGTTAAATCTAAATATGTCAGCGTTGAGGACTGGATGTTCACGCTGTTGTACCTCACATCATTTGTCTTTTTTAACCCAGGTCAGTCATTGACTGAAGCCCCGTGTGCATGTCTCCCAAAACGGTAACAAGGGAAAATGAAAAAAGTTACTGTTCCCAGGCAACATAAAGCGGGCTTTTCTATTAGCTGTATTTGTTCAGCTTCATCCATTCCCAGCCTATGTAAATATTAACCCCCATGTGGTGATCTACACCAGCCATTTCTCATTCCAATGGAAATGTGCGTCACAGGTTGTGGGCGTAAATAATTAAGAGCTAAAGTTAGTGATGGTCATGCACAGACAGTCATTGCCTTCTTTTAACAATTTATTTTCCCTTTTCACCGTAATTCTTTTTTTGAGTTCTCCATCTTTGTGCCTCTTGCATGAACTCTCACACACAGATGCATCACTTCTCATAAGATCTGTGATGTGTCCAGATGCTTTTTCTTCCATTAGCTAAGCTAAAGAGGAAAAGCTGCTTTTACAACCATTGTGACATCATTATAGAGCAATAATCTCCTTCTTTGCTTTGATGATGGACATACTTGCATTAGCAACTCACCAAACATACTTTACAGTATTGAGACTTCTTTCTTTTTACCCCTGCTTGAGTTACAGACCGGGAATACTATGGAAATTAGATTAATAAGTACAATGATATTCTATAATTCTAAGAGCCCCAATATAAGACTAACCCATCCTCATGTACTGTGTGTTTTAGTGCTGCAACTAAAAGCATTCAATACAGTTCAGTGCGTGATACAGTAAACCATTAAACCCTTACATCTGTTATGAAATATGCATTGCTCATTTGAAGGTTGGTCATTCAAAACAGGTGCAAGTTGAGAACCTGTTTATTGCCTTGCCTTGCTTCCATTGTTGCTGGTTTTGGTGTGGATGAGGGGGCTTGACCCTTAGGTCACTTTCAGATAGGCAAAGGATAAGCATATAGACATACAGTATATTGTTTCCATTATAGTTAGATGCAACCAGGACATGTTTATTTTTATTTTTGTAACTTTCAAAAGACGATTATGTTTCAATAGTAGCTTAATAATGTAGGTTTAAAACATTGACCCTACTGTTTGGCTGATCTGCAGCTGTAGTGTGCACATTAGATTTTATTTCCTGTAAGTCAGGAGGAAGTTAGTGCTAGAGTTTCAACATTCACAGACTCTAGTTTGTAGACTGAAGGTGAGAAAAGTTGGTTGACCAGTAAATCGAGGTGTTATTTCTACGTGCAACCAGAAGCATAGAAGCCACACAATATACTGAATTATGATTGAATAGTTTTTCTTGTTTTTCTGGCTGTATTCAATCATACCAAGCAGACACAAGAACAGCCTGAATTATAATACTGTCAGATAGACCCACACTATAAAATACTGCCTCAAATTTCAACAGACTGGAAGCAGCACCTGGTGGACTTTGTCTCAAATAAAGGAGGGTATTCATTGCAGAGCTACTGGATTAGATTGCATGCTCCACCTATCAACACAATGGGAAAGAGAATGAAGTCATGGGTGCTTCTTAATTATAGGGGAACTTGATGATATCATTGAATTGCACACCATTTAATGTGATGTACAACCTTTCTGTGAGTTAATGTGGGCAGAGATAATTAATGTTACATTAGCATTAGCATCAGGAAGGTTTGACCTGACAATAACTGGTTATATTAACATGGAAAAATAGCAACAATAATGATAAACTGTATTTCCATTGCTTCTCTGCATTGCTCAAAGTGCTTTATCCTCAGCAAATGTTCAGTCAACATTATCCTCGACTGGGTAAAATGAAAACTAATAGCCTCTTGCTGAGAACTGCAGCTGTGACATCGACTTATTGGCTTTTTATGTTCTCTCCATCCAATCCTGAAACCTGACGTGATGGGTTTCTGCTGATGTAAAATACATTTTCATCTTACAAGTATAAAACAGAGCTACATGTAATTTTCCTGCTGCGTTTTTAGGTGTTGACAATCAATCATGTTGCTATTTGATTCTGCATAGAACAGTTACAATTAGGTTGTATCTTTTGTCTTTCAACTCCAAGTTAGTCATCAGACAGTTAACCAGCCCACGGGTAGGTCATATCTTATTCATTATTTGGCTATTCACTTGCTGCAACAGATAGCTCAAAACACCAAATACTTCTAGAAAGTGATTTGTTCCATGCAAAAAGTGATGGATGACTTTTTTATGTTTGTGAGGAAATGACAAACTCTTAAATTATCATCCAGAATACCTATTCCTTTTTATTTAACATCGTACAGCTAACATCAGCCACGTAAGATTCATGCCATTCTCGTTTACTACAGTAACACTATCAATGCCTCTACTTAACAGATACAAGTAAAACCATCAAACTGTGTTGACAGTTTGCTTTTGACCATTTGAGTATGTCAATCACAATTTTGTGGTGCATATGATTATATGATTGTCTGTGTTAGCATGCCTCAAAAACACTGCTTTTGCAACAGTACCTGCAGAGTCTGCAAACCACCGTGGCCATTTTTAGCTCCATGGTAAGTTAATAAGACCACACTGGCCTACTTATAATTCCCTCTCTCAGTGGAATTGTGTAGTAGAGCAGACTGGGTCTATAGTAGTCAGCTGCTGGATACTTTTGAGTTCTTCACAGCAAGCGACAATGGATGTGATGATAGACTACTTTCCTCATCATATTTGACACATCCCTGTAAGAAACAGGAAAAAAAAAGAAAGACGGAAGGTCAAGTGGAAGTTGAATAGATTGACGTCAGGCTTTGTGGAAATTGCAAAGTTTCTTCAGTGAGGAAATGAGATTCTTCCTCATAGCATGCAACATCCTCTGCTTAAGCAGGTCATGGGGAGGGTCGACAACCATATATTCATCTGTCAGACTGTGTGTATTTGTGTGTGTGTGTCTTTTTTTTTAGTTTTCCTTTTCCTGTAGTTCCTGACTGTTTGGTGAGTCAGTGTTTCCTCACAACTGGAGCCACCGGGATCCCGTTTTGGTGTCAGAGGCCACAGAAAGATGTTCCTGGCAGCTGAAGATACGAGACACTATGTTTGTCATGATCTCTTCGGCATAGTTATGTTTAAACTTGTACATGTGAGTCATGAAAATAAGTGCAGTGTGGTGCATCGTTGTAGACACCATCAGTGTTTGCATTGGTTTAGGTCTGTCTCTCTTAAACGATACTGTCTGTGACTTTTCAAAGACTGTGTCCTATCCCCCTATTTCTAAAGGCAAAATTGTGTACAAGCTCAAAATGGTGAAAAGGCAGATCTCAAAATCGGATTGCAAAACATTAAGAAATTACAGAAGGATTTAATCTGTTTGTGACATTATTTTCGATTTTGAAACTGGTAACTCTCACTCTCCTGCCCAGTTTCCCTTCTTACCTGTTCACTTGTAAGTTCAAAACTATTCCAAACAAACCAAATACACAAATATGAGTCCCTTGAATCACAGTTATTGACACTGATGATCTATCTGAGTGGGGTGTGAGGCAGAGATATTTGCTGGCAGAGGCACTTCACTGGGGAAAAAAAACTGTTTTGTTGTGTGTCTGCTCTGGCATCCCAGTGGGTGAGACCTACATTTGTGTCTCTAGCACCAGTTCAGTCTGTAATGGTTATTTTGTCACACAGACATTGGGGTTCTAAAAGCCCCATTTGAGTTTTTTCTCAAACAGAGAGGAAGAAGAAGGATGTTTCGGTTACGAGTTCTGACATTATCTTTTACCTGGGAAAGAAGATTGCCATCAATAGTACATTAATTGATCTTGAGGTTTTAACACTATCAAGTTTAACTTCTTGTGGTAACAGCTTTCTTTATCCTCCTGGAATCAGAATCCTGATTAGTATGCTGCTGAATATCGCCTTGAGACTGTATTCCCTCTCTTTAAATTGGTGTTTCTTGGCCCTGGCCTGGTCATGTTCATTGTGACATTGCTTAGTGGTTTTCCTTTATCCACTCTTTATCCACTGGCTATGCACTGTTGCTCAATCTGTGGCCTCTTGATCCCTCTTCTCCATGCCTAGCAACCTCCCAACCTAGCAACCTAGGCTCAAAGCTCTGATGCAAGCCAAGGGATGCAAACAGTAACACACACCAGTAGCTCTGAGCTTCCAGTCTGGGAGCTAACTTAGCTTAGAAAAAGTTACAAGTGAGGAACGGTTCATCAGGAAACTGTTAACGATAGAAAGTTCAATCTGGATTAGCAGGAGGACGTCAGGATTAAAACAGAAAATATTGTCTTTTATATGAACTCCAGTTCCAGTAAGTAAATGTAAAAAGAAAGTTGTGTGTTTTTACAGTCATCAGTGAGGCCAGGCTCAGATTAAGTTCATGAACTGTGACCTTGACCTGGTAGTAGCATTGGATCATGACATGGTGCCTGCTCATGATCAGAGGATGATGTAAGACTTGCAGCATCTTTTCTAGAACGTTTTAGCAAGAGCTTCTATTCTAGAGCTCAACATTAGGTAATTTGTGAAAAATAGGGATACATCTGTTGAACATCTGGCAAGCTAGTGAACCTGACTGCTGATTCAGAAAAGAAGTTGTTTTTATAGGGCAGAAGAAGTCAGGTTGGACAAACTGATTTGTTTTCATGGTCAAAGGTGAAATAAATTGTCAGCAGCGTGGGAGTCTTACACCGTTTCTTGCGACATGCAAATGTTTCAGTGACATTTCATTCAAGAGGAGAAACTTCTAACAACAATTAAAATAGATCCAATAGCTGCTGTGCTTGATCACAGAGGGCTTGATTTTATTTTATCTGACACCGGGTAACAACATTTCTTTAGCTCTTCATATTCAATTTCCACCTCCACACTCAAACCACACACTCCATGCAAGTCTTTTTTCGGTCTGTTTTCCTTTCACATAGAGCTCATCCTCAGCATATCTCTAATCTTGTGGAGTGCAAGGCTGCTGCTAAAATGACCTTCCTGTGATGGATTATTGTTTACTGTAGCCTCGGAGCCCAGTAACCTTCTCAGACCCGGCGCAGGCTTTCGTTTCTCATCCCTGCTCACCAGTCGGTGTACTCATGACCCTGCGTAGTCTAGAGGTGACTTAGAGGAATCTATTTTCTCACTTTCCTTGCAAACATGTAAAACTAAAATATCACCAAGCAACAAGCAGTTCTGTGCAGGAACACTAACATTTTCTGCTATTTCACATGGTTTTAGTGTGTAGTTATCAAAGGGACTATACACTTTTGATTTTCAAATGTTGTGGTCAGTTTTTTTTTATCATCTTGTCAGCTTATATCAACCTAGTAATCCAAAATGCTGCATGCGTTTTTTCTAATTTACATGACTTTTGCAGATCTAAGCAAGCAGTTGACAACTGTAGAAGAACTGTTATAGCATTCTTGTCCACCGTATGCCTCCAACTTAAGTAAAAAAAAAACGTGTTATGGAATCAGAACCGGTGATTTTTATTTGTATTTTTTACAGACTTTGAAATTCAAACTCTCTGCAATATTTTTTGGTGATACAAGAGCACTTACACAAGCAGTATAAGGGTTAAAAGTGTGTTTTTGATGTTAATAACAAAATTAGCCTACACTTAAGCTCTATATGCCATAGGAGACCTTGTTATCCTTTCCGATTCAGCTCTTGATGGTAGCATTACTGGTCAGTTGGGATTGCTAAAGCCAGCAGCGCACCTTTTATGACCCTGCCTGTTTATTTAAGGTGTGTACTCTTTGTGTTTATGTTTTATCTGTGCTTACTTCTTCGTCTGTCTGTTTACAAACAGTAGCTTTATTGCAGTGAAAGCATCAACTAGGAGAGGATAGATTACAACAGGAAACATGTATGTAAACTACTAATTAAATAATTGAAACAGTGTTTATTGAGAGATAATACAGCATCACACAATTATATAATAAAACACCCTTACTCCTCCTTTGAAACCCCTTCAAAGACACTAAAGTTGCCTGTTTACTACTTTGCCAGCCCCGTAGAGTAACACAACCTTCAGTTCTTGCTCAAGCTGCCCTTACATTCACCGGGTGATAACAGATTGTGAGCAAGCAACTGTTAATGATAGTATGTGCTTGTTTTGTTTCGACTTGTCTCTGTGAATGCAACATTATTGCAGCCTTAAATAGATTAACTAGAGATGGTAGACTGGAGCAATCAATTCAGTATAATTGCACTACTTACACTCACAAACCTCTATTGATTCAACAACCGAAAGGATCAATAAAGCATCAATTTAAAGGATCACAGATACTGAAACAGCTGAAATGGCTGTTGTCATTTTTGCAGGATTGCAGACTCTTGGCCCTTACAAAATCAATGACTGATTATGCAGTACAAATACAAACAAAGACAGAGATACCAGATGTGTTTATTGTAATCGGGCTAAAAGAGGAATGCAGTACTTTCTTATCTGGCCGGTTTCTCTATTGCTTTCAGTTTTACTGCAGTCTCTGGCATTTCTGCTCATTCAGTCTTTTCCATTTCTCAAGCTGTGTCCTCAAGTACAACTGAACCAGCCAGACACATATATCAGGCTGCTCTTCCTCCTGTGATTAGACCTTGAGAGTGTTTTAGCCTTGAGACTAACTGCAGAGGTGTCCTGATGCATTTGGTATTCACTACACAGCAGGTAAATACCTTTGCTGTCATTACCACTACTTCCACCTCCACCCTTTCCTAGCACACACACACACACACACACACACACACACACACACACACACACACACACACACACACACACTCACTCCCTTGTTGCTGGCAATGCCGGCGCAGCAGTTTTCAGCGCTGACAATACACTAGAGGGCTATTAGGAATATGCTCTGTCCTGCAAGCTGCCTTAAAAGGCCAGTTATCTGCCACTTCTCCTCCTATGGGACTTTGTCTGGAAACTAAGGCTGCTGTGCATCTGCTGCACTCCTCTGTGACCCATATCTCTGTGAGATATAAACTGCAGATATACCTTTGAGTGAAGAGGCAACTCTCAGCACTGTCAATGTGGTGGATTAACATGTTCTCTGGTGTTAACGCCATCTCATGAACAGATTGTCGACCACCATGTCACAGGAGGGAGAGAGTGGCAGTCTGCTATTTCAGTGTCATTTTAATAGCTATTTTCAAGGCTGACAGCCTCACATATGCCTCCCCCTGATCTTCCTGAATAGGAAAGAGATTTGTGCTTCCTCTTGCTATGAGGAGAAAAACGTATAAGCTGATAAACGTATGACAGCATATCAAGCAATGTGGTGTTCCTCAACAGGCCAAATATCATAGAATTGTACAGTATCTGACCCTGTTTTTGCTTATATCTAGCTTTGTGGAATTGTGTTTTCCATAAATGGATGATAGTGACTATTGATCTGTAAGCAGTGCAAAAAAAAAAAAAAAAAAACATACAGATAATTAATGTCATCATACGTTTAACCCTTACTAGAAGTTGTAAAATGTTATCTTTTATGGCCTTGGCTCAGGTTAAACCCTTTTGTAAAACAATCAGTTGTAGAAAAATCAACATTTTCCAATTTTCCATTATTAATTCAGTTTGAAAGTTAATCAAAACAAAAAAAGGAAACGCATTCAAGAAAAATAATTCAGTTACAACAATATTTTTTTTTAAATACCTTTTATATTTTGGTCCAAGACCCTGGGTCAAACAATAAGTGCCGAAGAGACACTTGTTTTGGATGTGATGCTGCTTTAATCAGGTTTTTACCCCTTCTTAAAAATGTTGGTTATTTATAAATTGTGTTGGAGACCACGGGGACCTCTGCAGGTTTTTCCGCTTTTTGTAAAAATAAACAAGTTAAATGAGAAAAACTCTTCACAGCAGAATATATTCAATGCACACTAATCTAATAAGCATCCTGCTGTCTGTGTATTTTCAGCCTCACGAGTTTGATGAGTGCCGACTGGACATCAGTGTAAATGACAGCGTTTGGTACATGCGAGCACAAGACCCAGAGCACAGACATCAGTGGATTGACTCCATTGAGCTGCACAGGGTAAGTAAAGCACAATCTGTTCATCACAGCCGATACTTAACATTTGTTTTCTCTCCAAAGAAACCAAATCTTTGATACACTTTTATCAAAGCATCTAATACAAGTTTGGAATTTGTAAATGTGTGTGTGTTTTTATTGTATGCGTGTGTGTTTCTATCAGAGTATCAGAGAGGGGAGGAGAGACAAGGCAGGAGTCCAGGGAACAATAATCATCCCTCTACCACTGGTGCGTTTGTTGGCAAGTCTGTAGGACTGAAGGACTCCCTGAGTGCTTTACCTGTCTTAGCATAATACACTGTAAAACAACGTTTTGTGTGTGTTCAAATATGCACCTGTATTTATTAAGCCAAAACAAGATTTATGCATGTATGCTGTATAGAGAGTTGAATCCTAGATTGTTCACTATGGCTACAGAACGCTTTCACTTTCAAATGCTTACTTGGTAGTTATCTTAGGTTTAGAAAACTTAATCAATCAAACATCAATCTTTACTTGTATAGCACCAATTCATAACAAATGTTATCTGAAGTCACTATACCAAAAAGAGCAGATCTAGACCATACTCTTATCATGTTATATTATTTAAAGAGACACAATATTAAACCATGAGCACATCACTTAGCAACATTTAGCAAAAAGTAACAGTGGAAAGGAGAAACTTCCTTTTAACAGGCAGAAACCAGGCAGTTGTATTAACACACATTTAAATGCAAATTAGTTGGTTAAGGTTAAGAAAACAGTGAGTTCAATTTTCCTCATCAAGGCTAAACATGGGATCGCAGCGTCTGCGGAAAAAATAATTCAGATTGGTTTGCAGTGTGGTTAATGTTAGCTGTGCCAGCACTGCAAGCCTGTGGTCCTCCTAGCAGGATAACGTCCACATCCCTGTGATGGATATGCATTGCTCTTGTCGGGTGGTTACATGCCAATTTAATCTGACACTCTCTATATACACGCCATCTGTCCACTGTGCTGGTTAGCATTCAGGTAGTAGAGCAACATGGCAGAATGGCAGGAGGCATTAATCAGAGCTACATCTGCCAGGTCTGAACTTTCTTATTAAATGGTCTAATCAGAAGATAATGAGGTATTTTGAACTAGGTTTTCAAAAGAGTTGGGAACATCAGTCCAGATTAATGAGATGCTTAATTTTAATATAATATTGCCAAGCCAATATTCCAGTTTTTGCGAAAAGGGTTCCACTGATAAGAGTTTCAAGACGTATGAGAGATAATGTTGTGTCATTTGCTGTGTTTATTGATTTTCTGCAGAAAAACCTGAAAAATCAGTGCAATGGGGCTTTACACAGAGCAACAAATATTAAGCCCTTTAAGTGCTGACTGAACAGCCCTGTAGTGCAGAGAGTGCTAAAGTAGCTCCCATTGTATACAGTCAGTGTCAAGGACAGAGGAAGCAAGTTGCAATCCCTACTGTGGACTGCAAGAGCACAGGACAATGGAGGAAAGGAAGAGGTTTATAGTCATACAAATACAAAGTTTAAATTGTGTTACACCCTGTAAAAAAAATGAATAAAGAATCCCATGTGACATCTAGCAATCTCTATTGCTTTAATGTCCATTTAAGTTACAACATATGTTATTGCTCAACATTAAGAAAAAGATTAGTTTGTTTAAAGGTCTTAATCTAAGGCAGATTTAATCCAGCGTGGAGACATAACTGTGGCTCTGTCTGACATGAACGAGGAGTAGTCGGTTGCCACACCTTCTCTCTGTCTGCAGAAACACACACATGTTCACTCGTGGTCCTAAACTTCGGGAAAACCCCCTCCTCTCCTCCGTTAACTCATTCCAGCACAAGGGAGGTATCGTGACTCATACTCAGAATCTTGTGCACACACACACACACACACCATACTATAGAATCCCACCCATATTGAGTCACCACAGAAACTCTTCCTCTTTCTAGAAGCCCCTTCTTCCTCTTCTTACCCACATTACTCACAGCAGCAGCACTCAGCAGCTCAGCGTCTCCAGGGAGACACAAAACACTACAGCTAACACATCACTCTGTTGACAGTTTCAGGCGTCTAAATGTGAAAACAACACTCGTTTCTAGGATACTATCCGTATATTAATGTAAGCTTTTGCTCGTATATTCTCAATGTACAAGTGACAGCCATATGGTATGAATTGTGGTTACGCAAGATACAGCTTATGACTTTTTTTTTTATATTGCGATTTGATCAAATGATCCATTGTTATAGTCAGATTTCCTGTTAACATGACTAAAAACAGGGAGGTTCTTTTTTAAGGAAAAGTTTTACTGCTGTGGACCTGCTTGATCAACAAGCAAAAATGAAATGAACTTTAAAAAATATGCATTAAACACACTTATTTCTCATTCACATGTAATCGAAAACGTTTTAGATCGACTTGGGAAGTGAATCAGGAGAATTATTTTTTAACTTTCACCTCAGGAATTATCCCATAATAATCATTTTCTTTGTTTTCTTCCTTTTATTTTACAAGTGTAAAACATAGTGTGCATTATTATTCTCCAAAGTCAGTTGTGTTTGTGTCCCTTCTGGCTTTAATCCTGACACATAAACAAACTCCCTCTGTGCTGAAGAGAATCTTGAAAAGATGTGAATACGTTTATTTATTAGGGCAGGACTCCCATCACTTGATTAATGATGCTTTTAGTCCTCTTTGTTTTTTTATCTCCTGATTTTATCATGCAATGAAACCCTGCTTGCCTGCTTTGATGTGTTATCAGCTATCAGACAGATGAAGCACCCTCATGCAGACAGATAGATAGTCCTATCTGTGCTGATGAAGTCACTGGGGTAGCAGCAGTATGTTTGCTAAAGGGCAGGCAGCAGCAGTGACTCAAATCCATGTGAACACGGGCGGAGTTACGTCTGGTCGTTGACCGACAGTTACCCCAGCTCTAGCAAAAGCTGGTCACGTGCATGTACATGTCCTGCCCTCTGGTGGTTGAAAAACAAAGTGTCTCTTAAAGGGGAAGCGCATCTCTGTAGCTTCTCTCTGCCAGTGTGTGTCTGCGTTGTTGAACCTTTTCCTCTCTGCTGTCCCTGACTGTCTATTTTGAGGACTGGGCTGTTATGTAAGCTGAAAGGGGAACCAGTCAGGTTTACAAGAAGTCACTTGATTATTCATTAGTGGTGTTGCTTTGGTTACTGAAACCTTGTCGGGTTGGGATGAGATCACTGCAACCTGTCAAAATATTCATTGCAGCATGAAGAATCTAGAAATACATATTTGCTGTTTCTGAATATGTACATTATATTTGAATGTAAAATATCAACAAATTATAATATGTGGTTGGTCATTTGCTGAGTTGATCATTTTCTTACCCTATATCTTGTTTGAAATTATATCCATATATCTTAAATTTTCCATATATCGCCCAGCCCTGAAGACATTCTGTCATCATGGATCTAAACAAAAAAAGCAATATTCACATTTGGGGTTGGCATCTTATAAGAGAAATTTTTTATGATAATATAGTTAAAAAATAACAGCTGATTTTCTGAAAACGTGTTCATCAATTTATTCTAAGAATCTACCATGGTAATGTCTCTCCTCCAACTTCAGGTACAAGAGATGATAACTAAACATTGATGTGAAGTGTAAACATTGGGGGGGGCGGGTTCAACTCACAGCTGCATGAATGAAGCAGGTTGAAAACTTGTGAAAAAAACAGGAATGGATTATGTAACATCTGAAGATACCAGGTGAGAACACTTCTGATCTGATAAAACAGAGATTACAAGGGTCAGTTTGAGTGAAGGGTTTCTAGCAGCTGAACTTTTGTTTGGTGTCACTGAGTTTGTTTTTGTCAGTCAGCACTGGATTGCTGCTGCTGTTCTGAATACAGCCATGTTTTTGATTATGCCTTTTGTTTAAATGTTAAATTATGACTTTTAGTTTGTATTTCATTTCATTAAGTTAGACTTCTTTGTAACAACACGACTAACTTGTAACCTCATTGCCTCGTCTGTTTTTCTTCACAGGCTGATTCTGGATATGGCTCAGAGTCCAGTCTGCGCAGACATGGCTCCATGTTGTCTCTCACCTCAGCAACCAGCGGCTACTCTGCAACCTCCACCTCCTCCTTCAAGGTAAATGTTAACTGAGGCAGAAGATGTGCACTGGCTTCAGTTTTGTATATTTACCGACACTGGAATGGTATCATTATGTAGAATGCAAATAGAGACGACTCTGATGCGTTGTTGTTTTTGTAGAAGGGCCACAGCCTCAGAGAGAAGCTGGCAGAGATGGAGACATTCAGAGACATCCTGTGCAGGCAGGTGGACACGCTGCAGAAACACTTTGACAGCTGTGCAGATGCTGAGTCTAAGGATGAGCTGCAGAGGGATAAAAGTAAGAATCACTGAAGCCTACACCCCTTTTTACCTGAAAAACTCTGAAACCTAGATGGTATGGTTGGAGAAATAACATGCCCCTATGAGTAGTTAGTAAAGAGTTCCATCATTATGAGCAGAAAGGAAACATTTTTAAATATACTGTACATCAACTAATCTGATAATTGCTTGACACATTTCCTGGTTCCACTTTTTAAGACTTAGTATTTATCCATGTTTTCACACATGCTCTCCAGAAAATTTTAAGAAAATATCATGACTGCCTGCCCCTGAAATATTACTCACACATGTCCGTCACAGCGTGAGGTTCTCCCTGTTGGACGAGAGTGGGGGGAGATTACTTTATTGGACAAAATAATAAGTAAATAAAAAAACAACACAGAAACACAGAAATTTAGTTTTCTGAACTATTGTTGATAAAAAGTGAAGTTGTTGAATTCTGGGTATCCAAAATAAGAAAAGAAAAGATGACAAGAAGTCAGTCATGTGACAAAGACAATTTTAAGCTTCAATAGTCTATGAAAGAGAATACAAGTATTTGTCGAAATGAAGAACAATGTAGAGATTCTTGTAAGGAATCTGTGTGTGCTGTTACTCAGAAAGCAGTTATTCTACAAGCTCCCTCACCCTCACCCCATCTTGGCCGGCTGGACATTCGCTCATGGCAGCCTGAACCGAGTGCTCCTGTGGACGACTGCAGTGAATGAAGCCCTGCTTTTGTTCTCCTCCCCTCCCTCGCTCCCTTCCTCCTCCTCTCTCTCCTTTCCTCTCTCGCCCTCTGTCCATTCGGAAGATGAAACCAGACCATTGTCATGTTGTCCAGCACAGCAGAGTCCTGTCAGTCGGACGGTCTGCTGCCGCTGTTGCTTAAGTTGTGAATGAGCCACAAGGCGCCCCCCTGCCCTGGACCCCTGCTGGACTTTTAGCAGGGGTCTTAAAGGAAAAGTCCTGTGTGCAGCAACTACCTGTAAATGTTTCCTTTCTGAAACCTCCTTTTTTCTCTTTCAGTCGTGGAGGATGATGAAGATGACTTCCCTAACACCCGGACAGAAGGAGAGTTTCTGCACAACAACAATGGCAGCAAAGAAAAATGTGAGTGATGCAGAATTCTTACTTCAGGCCACTGAAACTTATTTTAACGATATTTTTCTACAACCTTAAATAATCATGGTATAAAAGGATTAAACTAAAAGTCAAAGCCTCATATAGTACTAAACAAAATGTATGTTTAACTTAAGTAGCAAACAAAACACTGTCATCACACTTGGATCAATAATTGTTTTAATTCTGGGCGTGGTTTTTCAAAAAATGGAACCTGAATTACAAAAAAATGGATTTAAAAAATAAATAAAAATGCTTAAATTAGATTTATACTGATTTGGTGTTTGTTTGAGCGAGACCCTGTGCTTCTCTCGTGTGCAGTGTTCCAGTCATTGAGTCCCAAGGGAATCAATGGCATAGATTTCAAGGGTGAGGCAATCACATTCAAAGCCACCACAGCCGGGATCCTGGCGAATCTGTCCCACTGTATCGACCTCATGGTGAAGAGAGAGGACAGCTGGCAGAGACGACTGGATAAGGTAAAAAACATGTGGATCTTATCAACCGTGTAGAATCCACTTCTTCGAAATTTGAAAAAAAAGTTATTGTCAGCATTTAATTTTTCAGCTTCCTCCCCACAGTTCCATATCTCTAATGCTGCTGGATTTCTTTCTTTGAAGGAGATGGAGAAGAGAAGAAGAATAGAGGAGAGCTATAAATCAGCACTCAATGAGCTGAAGAAAAAGTCTCACTTTGGAGGTCCAGATTATGAGGTGAAGCCCTCGTCCAAGTCCCCCATAATGCAACATGTTGTTTCAAAGTATGTGTTGATTTTACAAATAAAATCCTCTCTCCCCCTTCATGCAGGAGGGTCCGAACAGCCTCATTAACGAGGACGAGTTTTTCGATGCGGTTGAAGCTGCTCTGGACAGACAGGACAAGATGGAAGAACAGGTAAAGAAAAGATCACATAGTAGTAGTTAAAGAGAAACTACAACGGTGATGTTCTTGTGTGATTGATTACAAAAATAGTGAAATTTCTTTTTCTCTGGATTTTCATTCTCTTTTTGTCCGTGTGCAGTCTCATACAGACAAGACGAGGATACAGAGATCCAGCCCCGTGCCCCCTGCAGACATTTACTCCAGCTCCGGCTCGCACAGATTCTCCGACAAGGTTGGTCAACGACAAGCTGCTTACACTTCTCCCTCTGCTCCACCTCATTCCTTCCACTTCTGTGTTTTTTTTTTTCATTCATTTTTACATCTCATCCAGTCATTACAAATCTATCTTTTTTATCTCTATCCTTTTTCCCCATCACCTTCATCATCATCCCTCCCTGTAGCCTCTTAGTCAGTCCTCCCCTGCTCTGATAGTGAGTGCCCCTCCTCATCACACCCACAGATTCAGCACAGAGGTAACTCACTGCAGCTCGTCCAGCTTCACCTGTTGGGACTTAACAAGTTTGCATGACTGTTAAAAACCGCTATAACAGGAAGCTCAATCAAGAACAATTGTTTAAATCCCCTCAGCAGCATCAAGTGTGAGCTTTCATCACATTGTAGTGTGAAATGATACCCGATAAAGGTGATCAGTGGTATCAGAATGTGCCCTACATACCAGAGTTACCAGAGCACAGTATATCCACCGCTCTGTGTGCACATTGACTCTCTATTTTCTTAATTTTTGCATGCTGTTTTGTGGCTGCTTCTTGTTGATATTCGATGGCCCAGTATCAACATGAAGTCCGGTTTCTTTTGCCGCCCAAGGAAATTGAAGAGGCTTTAGTGAAACTAGAAAAGCCGGTTAGCAACTTTCAGACAGCTTTGAAGTCGACTGTTAAAGGCAGAGAGTAAACAGTTCATGTCAACTAAAACCATCTGTCCATTAGGGCTGGGCAATATATCAAGTTTTTAAGATATATAAATATGTTTTCAAACATGATATAGGGTAAGACAATATTGTTAATATGGATATAGTTTAAGTTGCATTAAAATAACGTTACAGAGGTGCCAGGTCACTTTTTCCTCATCTCACTGATGATGACTGTCTGTCCCTCTTCACCCTGCTCCTCCTCTCTCTCTCTTTTATTGTATTTAAGGAACATTTTTATTTTATAATATTACTTTTTAAATTCACAAACAGGTAGTTTATTTTTCTGTGTTTTCACTGTTAATAAAATACATATCGATATCGAGTATTGCCATTCTGCTAAACAATATCGAGATGTGAGTTTTGGTCCATATCGCCCAGCCCTACTGTCCATTCATCTTTAAGATTTGATGTCCAGATAAAGTTTGTTTTATTTAGCATGGTTTCATTGTGTCGTATGTTTCGTGCTCTTTAGCTGACTCCATTAAGCCGTGCCGAGCTGATATGTGAGGACCGTTTCTACGTCCTGATAACCAATCATATCCTCTCTGTCTCCCGGCTTTATGTGCACAGGTGGAGGAGATGGTGCAGAATCACATGAACTACTCTCTGCAGGACATGGGTGGAGACGCCAACTGGCAGCTGGTTGTAGAAGAGGGGGAAATGAAGGTGGGAAGAATTGAGTTACTTTAAATAACAAAAGAGAAAAGTTTGATGTAAATTGTGAGATTTTTCTCCTTGCACTCAAATGTGATTTGATGTTTGAATAAAATGTATCTGAAACAAACTTAAGGGATAATTATTTGTATGTGTTTGCAGGTGTACAGGAGAGAGGTGGAAGAAAACGGGATCGTTCTGGACCCGTTGAAGGCCACTCATTCTGTAAGGGGGTGACCGGCCACGAGGTGTGTCACTACTTTTGGGACACCACCTACCGCAATGACTGGGAGAGTAAGTCTTTTCAATTTGAATCAATAGTAAAAAAGAAATGAACCTGTATTCCTACTCTTAAACAAAGTGCTCTACAAAAATCTTTGTATTTTAAAAACTGGATTGACCAAAGTTCATAGAAAACGATTTCTAAGAACTGAAACAGCCTCATTGTAATGCTCTCATGTCTCTTTTAGCAACAATTGAAAACTTCAACGTTGTGGAGACTTTGTCGGAGAATGCGGTGGTTGTTTATCAGACTCACAAGGTAAGCTCGGATGGATCTGATTGTTTCCTTTGATTTTCTACATGATGATTTGGATCTGAAATGATAACATTGAATGTGTGTTTCAGCGGGTGTGGCCTGCCTCCCAGAGAGACGTGCTCTACCTGTCTGCCATGAGGAAGATCTTAGCCAACAACGAGAACGACCCAGACACCTGGCTCGTCTGCAACTTCTCCGTCGATCATGACGATGCACAGGTGAGCGAAAAAGTCCTCTCAGAACCTTAATAAAGCTTTAACACGTTATGCTAAGAGTTTGTTTTCTAATTCTTCATCCTCTCATCCTGCAGCCGAGCAGCAGGTGTGTCCGTGCTAAAATCAACATCGGCATGATCTGTCAGACGCTGGTCAGTCCACCAGAGGGAGACAAAGAGATCAGCAGAGACAACATCCTGTGTAAAATCACCTACGTCGCCAATGGTGCGTGTCCATCTTTGCTATTTGCTTCTGGGTCATGTTCTTGTTTTTGAAAGTCTCAGAAATTAAATCTAGTTCATTAAGAAAGAGGATTTTGAAAGAGTCAAATATTTTGTGAAGTGACAGTCAGCACCATATGACCTCTAATCAATCAAACTGAATCATTTCAAATGTTTGCCACTTCTTCTGGGTTTAGTTCTTGTTTAGTTCTTTTTGCCTCTTATCAGAGAGACAAGATAGTGGATAGAGTCAGAACTGGGGAGTGAGAGAGAGTGGGGAATGACATGCAGGAAAGGAGCCACAGGTCATATTTGGATGACACGTCTCCACTTCCTTCCAATATACAAATGTGAGGCCAAAATAACCCAAGCTATTGGCGCTGTGAGCTTTTGATGACATTTGGAGCTTCTGTCACAGTTTAGAAGTCCCACCCCCTTCTGCTTACCAAAGGCACATTTATAATTTATGATGAAAAGTTCCAAGACTCTTTTGTTGGCATTGTTTCCTCTCACTGCTCCTCCTACTCTGATAATCCGTTGAACACAGCCTTTTATATTAACACACTATCAAAGGATGGCGGCCTTTTTTTACCCACATAAAAAGATATGCTATTTGATGTTGACATTGTCAAGACAAACTCTAAAGATTTAAAGCAGCTTGTTAACTCAACCCTTCCTGCTGAGTTAAAAGTTCTTTTCCTGTGTGTGCGCAGTGAATCCTGGAGGCTGGGCTCCGGCCTCGGTGCTCCGGGCCGTGGCTAAGAGGGAGTACCCCAAATTCCTGAAACGCTTCACCTCCTACGTGCAGGAAAAGACCGCTGGAAAACCCATCTTATTCTGAGGCCCACAGGTAAATCAGAGGTTTACTGATCTGATAGATCATCGCTGCAGCTTTTAACCAGCACAGGATAACATGTTTTCTTTTCTTTTGCAGTTTTGACACACGATGGACTGAACTGCATGAAGGGCGGCTTTAATCACTAAGACACTCTGCTGCTCAGCTGCTGTGACACGACGACAAGTTCTCACAAGCTGAATATTTCCCTTCATTATTTTGTGACACTAGTTAGTTAGAAAAAAGAAGGGTTGTAACAGTGCCCCCTGGTGGTAGGATTTAAAAACAAGATACCCCTGAGTTATTTGTAAACTGGTAGTGACATAATAATGGATCATTATCATTTCTAGTTTTTCCTTCTGCTTGTTTTTTTCACTTTCTTTCAATTTGAAAAAGAGAAAATACAAAATAGTGGAGATGATTTGACTGTCAACAGAAAACCCAGAAACATTTCCTCCCAAAGAAAGTTCCTAGAGCAGCTCGTGATGCCTCAGTCGATGCCATATTTCATGCTCATGTCTCTTTTCTTACAGATATATTAATATATAAATGTAAGTATGTTCTATAAGAGGTTTGTAAAAAGGAAACAGATCTTTGCTAATAGACAGAAATATTTTATTCTTGCCATTTCTAGTTCCTATTTTTGTCTAGATTGATCATCATTTTTTCCATCATTAGCAATCTGCCAGCTTTCTTTTCGAGCTGCTAACGTTTTCTGCTAGTGAAACATCATCGATTGACTTGAAAAATCATTTTTACCTGTACCGAGTCCAGAGGGCTGTCATTGACTTATGACCCCGATGATGTAAGACTCCACCTTTTTGTGACCGCGTCCCTCTCATGAAAACGCCTCTCGCTGGCGCTGACGGAGGGACGGGGTCCGGAGGACGTTCATGTACATTGTTGCTTTGCTTTATATTTGTGTCTTAGCACATATTTTGAATGTTGTACATAGTGTCACTAACATTTCTCTGAAGGTCTTTTTGTGACTGAGTCAAGCCCAGATGCCTTAGTGTAAGAGGAACATATAGAGATAACGATTACTGTAACTAAGAAATCATTAGTTAAGTGCCTCGCAGCTATTCTCCCCTTCTTATTCGAGTCTTTCAATTCAAATATATTCATGAACTAACTGTCCTTTAAAGGGCTATTCTGGTATTTTTTAACTTGAGCCATATGTTTTTTTCACACTTAGGGCCCACTAAAAGTGTTTTTTTTATGTCCACTGACAAGCTCAAATGTTTAAATCAACCGTTAAGATGATATTACAAAAAGGAGCCCCACAGAGAGATACATTTTATGGCAGAACTCTTTTTTAAATCCACCAAACTCCACTGACTAAATCAGTACTTTTTCCTCAGAACACAGGAGTTGTTGATCCACCTTTGCTGTTTGTGTGTCTGTTTAAAAAACAAACAAAAACACTCAGTAGAGGAAACAGCAGAGCAGCAGATCTTATGCTCTGTAAGGTAAATTTGATGTTTCTTTCTATGGAGTCTGGTGGCTCTGAGGGAGCAATGGGACAGCTGATCTCTATAGGTATCCTCCGCAGACTGTTATCCGAGCCTGTTAGTAGACTAACTTGCACTTTTAGTAAGACACACTTTGATTCCTCCAGCACCAGGAGATGGGCTGGAGCTGCTGCAATCTATAAAAGCAATTATAAAGCTTTTTGCACCACTCAGAAACATAGACCCCAAAAATGTTAAAGTAAAAAATATTCAACAAGCACCGTCATTCTTCAATCAGAGGGCTTGTTGGATATTTTTAAACCTTGAATAGTTTGAAGATTCAAGATTTAATTCAGTGTAAGAGTCTGAGTCTTACTCTGTCCATGTGCCTGCTATTTGTTACATGTGCTGGCATGAAAAACAACAACCCCGTCTTGTAAGCAGTAATGATTGGTGTTCGTAGCATGGATTGTGTCTGAAAATGTCGCTTATACAAACGCAGGGCTGCAAAGTCCAAAGTTAGCGAGGATGTAGATTGTGCTAGTCCTGGTGTTTTATTTGCACATTTAACTTAAAGTCTGTGTAAAGCGACATCAGAAACTGGTTTCTAAACTCACTATAAATGTTGGAGACATGAGGACAGCTGAAGACAGAGTTGGGGATGACGTGCTGTGAGGGGCTGAGGTCGGACTTGAACCCACGGCGACTACGACTAGGACTCTAGCCTCCGTACATGGGGCGTGCATCATCACCGTTAGGCTGTCGCTGCCTCGACTTGAGTGACTGAATTATGGATTTGGACTGTTAGGTTTTTTTTGGAGGGCTCGATGATGATTATTTCATTCAGCAGTCCTCAGTTGTATGACAAACAAAATAAACATTTTGTATTGCTTTACACCGACTTTAAAAAGATATTAAACTCTGGACTTGACAGTTTTGCATTTGGAACTGCTTACATGGCAAAAAAGCAAACTACTTTTTTAAGCATACATTATTTGGTCGGCATAGCTTCTCAAACTTTTCTCATTAAAGCATCACTATCTAAAGAACAGTACTACAGATGAACCTGTGGCCAGCACAAAATGCATTTTCTTGGGTTATGCGAGTGATTTTTTTTAGCTGTTTTCAGTGTCTGCTCTTTGATTTTCGAGCTTTATTGCAAGAATGATGTGTGAACGAGTGTGAAGCCATATGATGCTCAATCTCTTGAGTGGAAAGAAGCCGGGCTGAATCTCTTCCACCTTCTAAGCATTTCAACATTTTTTTTTTTTCGACACAAGTGTAGTCATAAAAAAAGAAATCTAAATGAATGTAATTAAGAATACTGTTTTTGTAAATATGTTCATACTAATGCTGTGGGATCAACTTACAAAGATGTACTGTGACATCACATTTCTTCTTCGGCTGTTCATAAAGTGAAATAAATAAGTTCACCCTTCACCTCTTGTGTTTTACTCGTGATGATAAATGAAACATCCTTTAGAGGAGACAGTGTTATTTATTCTTTTAAATACAACCTTTTGAGATGAACAACTTTAAATTAAATATTAGCTAGAGCATGCTATGGCTGAACTTCTCCTGGACGTGCGGTATGTAAGGCCACTTCATTGCTTTTTTAAAGGACAAACCTGCACACACTGTAGTCAGTGGTACATTAAACCCAACGGTCCGATCATTAAATCGCACCAGAAAAAAAAAAAATCTTAAGTTAATATGGCTTTGAACTTCAACTTCATTCATATTTCCCCTTAACACTGTAACAAAAAAAACACACCTCGCATCAGCAGATGCTTCCTCCTCCTGGAACCAGCAGCCACACTCATCCTACAGTATACACAGTATACAGTAGCACCATAATTCAATAAAAGAACCTATGGCACTGACTTCCTTTAAAATACATTCAGGCGGAAAGTTGGCATTTAAAGTCTCATCTTAAGCAGCAGCAGCGCTATCTCAGACGAGCTTTTGGCAAGTGCAAAGATCCATTAGTCAGAGAACACCAGGAGAGTCATGCATTGAGTTACTGCACACAGTTTTCTTCTTCTTTGTGGGACTTAAAAGGCCGTTAAGCTCTTAAGAGGCACAGGATACTTGTCAAAGACTTAGTGCAGTGTCGAGGGTTTTACCTTTGATTATTATCTGAACCCCATCAATAATTCACAGTTGTCTCCGAAATCGGGGGCCAAAAACAATATTGAATGTTTTCCACAAACCCTCCTGCAGTGTTCAGCCACAGAGACATGGCACAAAATCAGAAAACACGACGTTAACATCTTCAACCATAAAGTCTTTCTTTTGTGCAATTTATCAGGCGAGACACAAGCGAGCACAAACTGTCTGAGGTCTTCAGCATGTGTTGGGCTTTGTAAGTCTTTTTTTAATCCACAGCACTTCAGATCCATTCGATTAGAAAGCTGAGTCATCCCTCAGTGTTCACGCTGCAGCGCTCGCTCGGTCTGAAGATCCACCGTCGACGGTCGGTGTCACGCAGCCGACTCCGTTGGAGAAGTTTCTGACAGGTTAGATTTCGATCTACGAGCAAATAAGAGGAAAAAAGTCAGAAATCCCTCGAGGGGAACAGCGACTGTGTTTTCAAAATCACAAGAGATAAAAGCATAAATGGTAGAATATCCGACCTGTTGTGAGTCAAGTGGCTCTTGACGAGGTGACCAGCAGCTAGAGCGGCCATGAGGGAGAGCTCTCCTGCCAGCACCGTGCCGCAGACGACGCGAGCCAGCTGACGGGCGTTCTCACCTGGCTGGTCTGAACTCGTACCTTGAACACCAAGCATCTGAAAGACACACATGTAAACAGCATTCTAGTTATTTTCTTCACACCAGAAAAACATTTTCCTTTGTATCTTTTTAGCCTTTATAACATCCAAGTCTGCAACAGCGCTTAGCTCTGCTCTAGTTTTACTCTGCAACCCCGTAATATTTGTGTCCCACTGTGGGATTTCATATTGCATTACAACGTTGCAGAAGCACAAGAGGCACAACGTGTAAAGAAACAGCAAGAGGTTTACATCCACACACATAGTGCTGTTTCACTCCAGTTTGCATCCTTCTTTGTACCAAACCCAAAACAATGTATTCTTTAGAGATAACTAACAAACAGAAAAACACACCACGACATTTACAGAAACCACCCTTGACATTACCTGCAGACAGGCCTGCTGAGGAGTCAGGTTGGTGCCTCCTCCCACAGTTCCCAGTTCAATGGAAGGCATGGTGCAGCTGATGTATAGGTCCTCTCCCTCTGGACCAGCATGCTCCATCTGAGTGATACAGTTAGAGCTCCCCACCGTCTGAGCGGGGTCCTAAAACAAATGATAGATCTCTATTAGTCATCAGTGTTCAGAAACATTTATCAGCCCATCATAACGTTATTTAAATGTCAAACAGGTCCATAAGGATTTACTGTTGATGGTGTGACTCCGTGTTTGTACATATATATAGAGAGGCTGAGAGGTTACCTGTCCACAGGCGATGTAAATGGCTGCTACAATGTTTGCAGCGTGAGCGTTGAAGCCCCCGATGCTGCCGGCCATCGCCGAGCCCACCAAGTTCTTGTTGATGTTGAGCTCTACCAGAGCGGCCGTGCTGCTTTTCAACACCTGCAAACACATGAAAGGGTTGTTTAAGCCACATACTGTATATATCAGCATACTTAAATAACTGAATGAATAAACTGTGAATGGATCCCTGACTGATGGATTTCACTTGTCCGTACCTCTCGGACCACCTTGGCGGGGATGGTGGCCTCACACACAGCAGACTTCCCTCGGCCCAGGATCCAGTTGATGGCAGCAGACTTCTTGTCAGTGCAGTAGTTTCCACTCACAGCCAGCACCTCCACGTCTGGGAACTGCTGCTGCAGTCTGCGCAGAGCCTGCTCGGTGCCCTGATTAAAAACAGACACACATCAGCGTTTACATGCGAAGAGAAAACAAAAACACTGAACACACAACAGAGTAAGCAGACTTGAGATAGATAGAGGATTAGGATTGGACCCCTTTAAGACTTGTTTATACCTTGGAGATCATGTTCATGCCCATGGCGTCTCCGGTCTGAGACTGGAAGCGGATGTACAAGTTCCTCCCAGCTAAGCACACCAGCACCTTGTCCAGACGAGCAAACCTAACAAGGATAAATATTTATTCAATATCTGCAGGTCCTAGAATCTGAGATCGGCCTATCATATTTGTATCAGTAGTGGTGTGTGTACGTTTTCTGAAAATGTGCTGGCATGAAGACTTTTTTTTATAACAGAACATATACTGAGGTTAACAATTCTTTGAGTGATTTGGACATGGTACTGTCCTGTAGTTTGTCTGCCTCTCTGACTCTTGATTTTATAAAGCTTTCTGTTCTGTCTGCAGCACTTACCTTGTTGAATGAATATGAATATAAAGTCGCCTCGTTGGTAACTTAGGAATGAGTCCCTTAAAAAGTCTAATTTCGATCGTGCTCTAGGAAACACCTTTTCTAAATATTCTGGGAGTTATTTTTGCTTGCCCTGTGTTTCTCCTGACCTGCTGGTTTGGTCGAAAGCCTCTTTGATCAGGCTAAATCCATCCAAGGTCTCGAGCCAGACTTTGACCTCTGCTGCCCGGCACGCTGAGGGCAGCCTCACCACGGGGCCCCTGGTCATACTGTCAGCGAGGACCCTGCTGCGGCAGCCCCCGCTCAACTGGGGCAGGAAACACAACACACACGGTCAGCAAAAACACACACACACACATTCAGAATCAAAGGAAGATAGCACCTCACTCACAGAAAGCGCTCTGCATCCTCTGTTGGTACTGGCTACAAGACAGCCTTCTGTGGTCGCCATGGGGACGTGAAACTGCTTCTCATCCAACAGGAGAGGACCGGCGACTCCTACTGGCACCGGCATGTAGCCGATGACATTCTCACAGCAGGCGCCCATAACCTGCAGAGCAACAACACTAAGTGTTACAGACAGTTTGTTTTTAAAAATGTAAGAAAATTGAAGGTTAAGTCTAGTAAACTAAAACCTTTGACATGTTTTTGGCTCTAAATGAAAAATAGGTTCAAAGATTTTTTGAATTGCTTCAGCAGATCACTTCAGCCTGCAGCTGTAAGATGAACTGCTATGGCTCAAAAACTAAAAACAGAACATGAAGAGAAAAATATGTACTAAAACTTCTGGTTTCTGTCACTGTCAGGCTTAGATTGTTGAAGTCAACAGAAAGGGATCATGGGTAACGACCACAGCTGCTTCTTTATTCACAATCACATCAAGCATAATGTCCCGTTGATATAAGACTGGTTTGCATTTGAAGATATCCATCCTCTCAGTACCTTCGAGTAGTCGTAGTCCTTATAAGGCAGACCAGTCAAAGCGGAGGCAACAGGCAGATTGGGTGACAGCATTTTCCTCCGTATGGCCACGCCCCTCTCCCGAGTCTCGACGACGGATTCCAGTTTGTAGTTGAGGATGTTACGAGAGGCGACGAGGTTCATCACCTCTGTGTCGCTCAGAAAACGGGCACCTTTCTGAAAATTGATAAGAGCAAAACAAGTTCTTTTAGAAACCTTCAGCTCAACACACAGAACCAAAGAGTGTGTGTGTGTGTGTGTGTGTGTGTGTGTGTGCGCTCTGCCAGCTGACCTGAGGATCGGAGAGGATGCCCAGACACTCCTCAAGCGTGCGGGGCTCCGAGTTAGAGCTACTTTGTGGTACAGAAGGTTCTGGAGCAGGACACTCCCCGTCAAATGAAAGACAGGGGCCATTCTCCACTGCTGCTGCAGGAGTCCAATCTGTTGTTAAGGAGAGTCAAAAACAACTTCAGTTTTTCATCTGTTTTCTGTGCTGGCAGTTCTCTGATATTAAGAGCAAAAACACACACGGCGTCAGCTGTTTATTGTCAATTCAATTCAATTCAGTTTATTAAAGGCTTTATATGTGATTTTTTTGATCCAGCAGATGTCGCCCTTGAGCACCAGCATGAAACCAAAACAACTCGCGCTGCATTGTTGTGTTAGCATGCTAATGCTAGCGATCTTTATTATGCTGGTATCTTCACACTGCATGTAAATTTACCTGAAATGAGCTTGATCTAGAAACACAGTTAAGCAGTGAGTACAGTATGTTATTCTTCTTTTCTCTAGTCCCTCAATTAAACAACTTTTATACACGAGGGGAGGAGTCAGCCGGCCGTCCTGGCGATGTAAACAAACTGAAGATAGGACTCTGAAAACTCTGAAAACATCGCAGACAGTGGGACTTGGGTGTTACACCCATTGTAGACAGTCATGACTCACAGAGTTATTTTCAGAGGATATACTTGATTTCTACATTTAAGTGTGAAAAATCACAGATAAGCCTTTAAGAAAGGGGACAGTCCAAATTAATAAAACACATGATTATACAGGGGTAAAAATGCCAGAATTAGCCAAAACGCTACTTTTCAT